TCTCTAATTTGACTAGCCCGGATTTGCGGGCGTTACAAATAATTAGATGTTGAATACCTAATGAAAGTTGCAGATTCCGTTGACAGCTTTTCGGGTATCGGGTTAATTTTTCGGGTAATTGGATAACCCAAATTATTTTTATGTCGGTTAAAGGGTAAGTTTTATGGGTTTCAAGTATACCTGATTATCCGAAATATATTAAAACAAATAATGAATGGCCCAATTACGGAATTACCCAATATCCTTTATTCCTTTATGAGTTAAGTTTATCCTTATCTAATTGATTCTAGCTCCCTCGTTCTATTTTCTCGTAAAAAAAACCCTCGTCTCTTCGCTCATCACCGATCGAGATAACCTCCAGCAGGCCTCTTTGTCGGTCAGCTAGTCGTCGGCTCGTCGCCACCTCTCCAGTCATCAGGTGGTCGTCGCCCGTTGGCTCGTCGCAGTCATCCTCGACTTCGTCCTCTCCAAGCAAAAATCACATATGTGGACTTCAAAGTTTGAAGTTCAAACTTACCATTAAAAAAATCGGTTAATACTCGAATTACCCTTACCCGACCCACTACCCGAATTACCCAAACCCGAATTATCCGAATTTAGTTTGGGTCGGGTAACATGTAATTTGTTTAATATGAAAAACCTGAATTACCCAAAACCCGAAAATTTTATCCGATCAACACCTCTACATAATACCGATTGATCTACTTACGGGGATGTGTCTAGAATGGTCGCGTTGGCTTGGTTGTTGGATTTCAGAAAGGCTATACGTCAATCATGCCTCCCAACTATCTTGTCTGGCTAATCCTTATTTGATAGAACTCTTAGTATTCATGGGATTAGCGAGGAATCTAGACTACCATTAATCATTAATTAGACTAAGACTTAATAATGATCATATTAGGTCACGTTAGAGGAAAAGATAAAACACCAAGGCGAAGTTTTGTCCAAATTATGAGGCATCCACTTTTATCAAGTGAGTGTATAATTACTTTTATCTTACACATAAATATGAAATATTTAGATAATTAAATGTTATGTACGCCTATTATCTGCAATGTGTTGGATGGACTATATGATATGATTTCACTCGATTTCTCGTGTGTGTGGGAGATGAGAGATGATAAATGATTAGGAGACTCCCTGACCTTTACTTGGAATATCATCATCTACCGGAGTATAAATGAGGACCACATATTAATCTAATCAGTCCAGTGGAACACCAACAAAAACACAACTTGTAGTTGATGAATTACAAGTTCAGGCGATGTAAGAATCGTGTATTCATGCGATGTACTCGATCAATGAATTACGAGTTCAGGCGATGTAAGAACCATGTATTCATGCAATGTATTCTACCGACGAATTATGAGTTCGGGCGATGTAAGAACCGTATATTCCATGTTATGACCAGATGATGAACATTAGGAAAAGTCCTTAGGATTGAAATGCGATGTAGATGATGATCTTTACGAGATGTTCTTAGAAATAAATATAGAAGAAAGCAGGGATGGGTAATTAGGTTAATTGTTTTGTTTGATGATTAAACTTATTAACTATACTAGGTGTGAGACCCGTATATTATACGGGTTGATTTAAAAAATGATTAAACTTAAAGTATAAAAATAAAATAATTTTCAATGTACAACTTTAAAAATAAGAAAGAAAGAAACTTTTTTATTACAATTTAATATCATATATGTGATATTTAATACTTTACATATATAAGTATATGATTTTAATTAAAAATTAAAACAAACCAAAAATTGACAAGTGGATAATATTTATTCCAAAATTACCACAAAATGACAAGTGTCAAAACTCATGAAAGATTGACAAGTGGCAAAAAACCTTCATTTATTAAGGAGGATTAAATTGGGTTAAAAACCCTATTTACTCACTAGGTTTCCCAACTGACTCGCTCAGTTTCTTTGTATCACAAGAAGCAGTACAAAGATAATGATGTTCGGACCCGATGAGAGATTCGAGGAAATATAAGCTATAGAATAAAAGATGATGTAAGGCCTACATTTATGCTTATGGTTCTTATATTAGTTCTGACATCCCAGACTTCTATAAATGAAAAATATTTCTTCAGAAATACTTTTATGGGACAAATTTCGAATTTAAAAATGAGCTATGTTTTAAATAAGCATAAATAAAAAGTTTTAAAATCACCATGAAAATGGGGATGTCACAATGGAGCTTAAATTGTTAGGGCTCATGTTTGGATTTGCCTTTGTATTCGAGTGCGAGGTTGCCAACATCATTGACTTGATTATTGACTTTTTGATTTGGTTGACTTTGGTGAAAATTGACAGTCTTTGAGTATGGATGGAAGTTTGACCTTGGATATTTCGATGGGTAGGTTGTAGCACTAGTTTCTAGACTTTTCGAGCTGTGATTGTTTAACTGCGAGAGTGAGGTGATTTTTCTCACTATACAACGTAGATTGCTGGTTGTCTTTGTGATACTTGCATTGAAGACCAGGATATGGCCCTAGCATATGTATGAAAGACCAGGATCTTGGCATATGTATGAATGACCAGGTCATGGCCCCTGACGATTGTATGAAAGACCAAGATCTGTCCCCTAACGATTGTATGAAAGACCATGATTTGGCCCAAGAAATTATATGTAAGAGTAGGATCTGACCCCTAAAAATTGTATGAAATACCATGATTTGGCCTAAGAAATTTATGTTTAAATTTTTTTTAGGTACTTTTGGTTCCAAAGGGAAAGGTTCGGCTTGATCGCACAACATCCCCTGGAGATTTATTTCGCATTGGCTGTTTTGATTTACTTTGATGTTTTGAGAATAATTTTACTCTGAATTTCTTTTGGAACAAATGAATGAATGGTTTGATTTAATTAAAAATGAAAATTTTTACTAGTATTTATAGGTCATTACAATAAAAAATTATTCCAAGCTATGGTCATATGTTGAGGATATAATAAGATCAAAGCTAAGATTAACTATAAAACTGTTTGTTGATGTAATTTCTGATGGTATTTGCTATTTCAGCAAGATTTACATATGTTTTCATGTAGTCAAAAAGGGATGGAGGGGAGGGTGTAGAATGATCCTTAACTTGGATGGTTGTTTTTTGAAAAGTTTTTGCCAATATGAATTACTTTGTGTTGTGGGTAAGGATGCTAACAATGGAATATTCTCAATTACTTGGGCAGTTGTATGTGTGGAAAACAAGGATAATCCTAGGACATTGTTTTTTGGCTTTCTTCAAAGTTCATAATGCTTCTTGTGAATTTGTGGAGAATGGATACTCAGAAACTTTCAATAGTGTGCTAGGAAGAAACATATTATTAGTATGTTAGAGAATATTTTAATTTATGTCATGCAAATGATCGTCAATATGTAAATTAAGGGGCAAGGTTGGGACCGTTAGTCAGTATGGCCTGACATCAGAGATAAGTTAAATCCGCTAAAGTTCAACAAAGGTACGTAGATATACCGACTATTGTAATGCATATTGTATATGTTTGACAACTAACAAATTCCATTATATGTTGTAGGTATTGGCAAGTTATATCTTGTGCAGTGATGAAGTTTGAAACAAGAAACACAAATATCGGTATGGAGAAGAAGGAATGCCAATGTAGGTTGTGGCAATTAAATAGGTATGGTTGTGTGCATTTAGTTGCCACCTTATCATACTTAAACACTTAATATGATGCATCCTATGTAGACTTATCGTTCTTGGTAGCCTTCTACATGAACTCTTACAAAGATGCCTTAAATGGGATGAATAGAAGCAATATGTGGTCTCCTACATATTACATCCGTCCATTGCCTCTAGTGAAAAGAAGGATGCCAGGAAGGCCAACCATAAAAACAAGATTAGAGTTTTCTAAAAAAATCTAGAAGACACATTGTGTCAAAGGAGGGTAAGAAGGTTGCTTGTGGTATATGCAAACAAATGGGACACAAAAAGGCCACCTGTACTGAAGTGGAAAGGTCATGTAAAAGTGGTGGTAAAAAGAGACACGGTAAGACACACACCAGAGTTAGTGAATATGGGAAGGTGTGAGCAAGGTGGTGTAAACGAAACTAAAGGTGAGCAACACGTGCAAAATGAAAATGTTAATGCAAATGTTGTCCAAGTCATTGCTGAGAATGTAGTACGACCAATTAAGAAGAAAAAAATCAAAAGGAATCTTTAAAATGAAGCTGACAAAAAGATTTGAAGGTGAATGTAGTAGTCCATTAAAGCCAATGGATTTGGATTAGTTAGTGGGGGAGGGGTGATGCAGGACAATGTGCTTAATGTAGTTGGATGGGCGTTTTGTTGTTAAAAAAATAGTTAGTATGTTGTTTAGGGGATGGGATATTTATGTCATTTCATGTATGTGAGCTTTGTGCACAATTACCTTGATGTTCTTATTTGATTTTACCTTATAATGATTATGGATTTCATGTTTTTCTAGTTTGGAATTATGTATATGTGTGAATGACATTCCAAATTTTGTCTTTGGTTGTTGTCCTTACCCAAATGTATACCCAGGGATTTAGTGGTCCCATTGTGAATGGATAGTTCAACAATATGTTGTTATTCCTGGAAAATGTGGGTCACTGTGGGCCATTTTTTTTTTTGTCCCACTTAAGATCATAGAGTAACAAAAATCACATATGTATACTTTTTGTCCATTTTGGGTTCATGTTACATGTGGATTAAGGTTGTCCCTTTTTTCCATTTTTGATCGGAATCATGTGGTTCCATTATGCATTGGGATCCTTATTCAATTCCTATTATCTGGGACACATCACTTATCTAGGCATCCTATTTGACCTTGAGCACATTCTTACATATTTTGTATCGATCGCATTGTACACAATCAAGTATGAAAACTATAAAATTAAAGCAAACTACTTAATTTCATTCATAAACTGATTTCATTTCATGGATTTGTTACAATTCTTAACCGTTTTTTACATACTAGAAGCACATACAAACACTTAACCTACACATCATCACCATCATCATTCATCCATCACCAAAAACGAAATCCACCCATTTACTATACTGTGTACCAAAGCAAAACCATAAACCTAAGAAATAAAACATTTAACCTACAACTATTCCCCTATAGGAAGAACTTGTACCCTACAAGCCCCAAGCCAACCATTATGACAACCGTAGAAAACCTTTGACATTTTTCACCTTCATCTTCATCGCCTTGGACTCTGTAGGGACTTTAACATACCCAACTTGGAGATAGTACAAGTGATTCTTAAGATCATGTAGCATGCTTGCAACTTCGATGTTTCCTATCCTAATGTCATCCATCTCGTGGTTGAGGGCATCTATTTGTGTCATGAGTCTTTCCTTGAGATCCACCATTTCAGCAGCCATTTCTTGTCGAGCAAGGCTCACATCCACATGAGTTTGAAGTAGCGTGATGGCCATGTCCTCTGTACGGAATCCATTTTATGGATGCTCGTCTAGATGTCGGTGGTCGTTAAACGACCAAATTTGGGTGGGAGATGACGACATTGTTGACGATTAGGGTGTGAGGGGTATGAGGATTTTAGCAGACTTAAGGTAACAAGATTATGATTTTGGTCATTTTAGGACACCAATGTTTGGTTTTTATATGGGGGCGGTAATGAACAGTCACAATCTTGCCCCCTAAGCTTCGTGAATAAAACGACGTCGTTTTTGCTGACTGAGTCCACGTTGGCAATGATTTGGCACTGGTAGATGACATGGCATGTGTAACTGGCTACAATTGGTTAAGGTGACTAAATGAATATGTTGATATGGACTTTAATCCCTTAAAAAGCAAGAAATTAAGTTAAGGGATATAATCGACCGAAATCGAAAATATTATAGGGTTACAGTGTTATATATATATATATATATATATATATATATATATATATATATATATATATATATATATATATATATATATATATATATATATATATATATATATACACACTTACCCCATGGGTGAAATAATGACCAAACAACACCAATAACATAAAATATAATTCATATGTTTCCCACCTCATTATGATTTTTTTTCTTACAAGGAATTAAATGTTAAATGATTATATGAAGCATCACTTGTGTTATTACATTCTCTAAAGCACAATTTATAGAGATGTTTTTCCTTTGTTATTGATCTATATATAATATATATAATGTTGTTGATTTAATATCTTTAAACACATATCATGTGTCAATAATAGGATTTTGGAAAGTACGATGTTAACGTCTTCGTTTTTTAGTAGGCATTTTTTAGAAAATATATATTTTTCTTTGGTTGACGATATAAATTTTGTCGTGCATAAATGAATAAAAATTATTCAAGCATGATATGTGGTTATATAAAATTGATTTATATATATATATATATATATATATATATATATATATATATATATATATATATATATATATATATATATATATATATATATATATATATATATATATATATATTACGTGCTTGAAATTTAGACAAAAGTTATGGGTATATAATAGTTGTATAAATAAAACTTATTTGAAACTTAATAAAGTGGGCTACATAAACAATTAAAAATAAAAGATTATTTGGAACAAATAATCTAATGAAAGTCGTAGTAATCTTGATTACGAATCCGCAGATATAAAGAACTTCAAAACCCGATTTTGTATAAGGAAATTATGATTTTTCAAAGTTTCACGTTCAACCTTACACAACAATGTGCGTCATAAAAAGCGAAATAGAGATCGGTTACTTGTTAGCTAAAACAATGTAAATGAAAGTTGATGTACTCGTAAATACGAATCCGTCGATATAAAGAACGCCGAGAGAGGAGTTTATATGAAAAAATTATAACTTTTGCAAAACCTTTTATAGTGTAATCTTCATAGACTTTAAATTAAAAAGAGAATGCGAATTAACCGACAAAATTTAAATAAAAGTTTTAGTACTCGTCGATACAAAACTAAGGATATAAAGAACGTCGGATACGAAGCTCATAAACTAAATATATGATTTTTTGAAGATTTCCGCTTTTTACCTAATAATGATGATGTGACATGTCCGAAGCGTGCCACGTGGACTAAGATGGACGCCTCCATCTACCGACTCGGAGATATAGCACAAACAAATGCACAATCCATGGCAGTAGCTAAAAGGAGCTAACATGCTGAAGTGCGACACCCCCTAATCTGCTATAAATGGAAACAAAAATTGACTCATTTCCTTACAACGTTTTCCACCAAATTCTCTGGTGAACTTCCCCCACTCCAAGCCCAATATTTCTGAGTTTCTGATCACTTTATCAAAGCGTTGCAACTTCAGAGAGATCGACGAAAAGCAATATTCATAGTTGAAGTTCTGTTTGCAAACTTTCCAAACTTCTACTAGAAATTCATGTAAGTTAAGATGCACCTACTATGCTTTAACTGTAACTTATATTTATTTTCATAGTCGTTATTATGAACTTGTAAATAAGATTTATTAGTAATTACAATACTAATCGATCTAGTTACGGGAGTGATGTCTAGGCTAGATTTAGTGAGGTGTTTAAAGTGGATTTTCCAAACAATACAATTTGTATACAAAACGGATCTTAGCTCTGATATGATCTTACCTAGTCATTCCTTATCTGATAGAACTCAGTATTTCTTGGGATTATTGAGAAATCTGAAATACAGTTTCGAAAAATATAAAACAACGACTATGGCTTAGTAATAATTGTTTATAATCGTTTAAAAGGGAAAGTAAAAGTTTTTGGCGAAGATCTAACTTTCCCATAAGTCATCCACCTTTAAAAATGTAAGTGTGTAGTTGCTTTCATATTACACATAGATACAAAAATATTTAAATGCTTAAATGTTATATACGCTTTTATTTGTATTTTTGAATGAATGTGTTAGATAAAGCAGCTTGACAAAATTTTTCTTAATTAATTGAAATGTTGGAATAATTTTTTATGTTATTATCATATTTAAATTATATTAAGTAATGAAGGGTTGTGAATAACAATATAATTGTATGAGTTTCTGACCAAAATTCTACTATTGTACTATTATGATTAGTCATCTAGTACACTAAAGATGGCAACCACTAACTATTTTAGATAGTATTGTGGAATACTAGTAGACTCGCAATCTGTAGGTATTAATGAACCGTACTTTCATTCGGGTACTCTATCCCCCATGGTTGTCTTATTGACATATATTTCTAAAGAATCCCTGAAGCGGTATTGTCTACTCGTTGTTTACAGTGATCCTTTGAGATATGTCCCTTGAGATCATCATTTTAAAATCAGGAGTGAGAATAACGGGAATGTGTAATCATGTTAATTGTTTGTTGTGAAATTTTTAAAAAAAGATTTATTTATATTATTGTGGGTTGAAAATCCTATGTACTCACCAGGTTCCCAAGTCTGACCCACTTAGTTTATTTATATCACAGGAAGCAATATGAAAGCATTTGGACAGTGAATATTAGTTGTCAAGTGATAAATGAGTTTTTGGCCATTAGTATAATAAACAGTTGTAAGGCATGTAATTACTGGTTTATGCTTATGTTTCTGTATCAATCTTGACATCCAAAGTTTTTAATATTAATGAAAAACGTTTCTTTGAAAACAAAATGGATTTCATCTTACAATAATAATGTTTTGGAACAAATTCTACACTAATATATATTCTTTAAAAGAATATTTTGTTTTAAATAAGTATAAAGAAAAATATTTATTTGACCATGAAAATTGGGGATGTCACATTCTGGGTCTTTCATATAAACTAGAAATTTGCTAGAATTACAACCCCACATATTTTGAATCCCACTTTATTTTTTCCAGCTTGAGGTAGGGCTTGTAGAGTCTCTAAAGAGGATAGGAATGAACTTTGATGTGCCAAAACCACACCATTCTTTAATCATACATCATACTCCAAAGTCCAGATCCCCCCCCCCCCCACACACACACAATAAAAAATACAGGACGTCAATATTACAATATATGATATACATCCTCCATTATAGACCTACAAGAATATTTGAGATTGATTCATTACCTACCCCATACAAATTTTCTATTCATAAATGGGTTGTTCATTTTTCTTTCTTTGGTACTTGTACATCTTGCTATGGCTGATCATATTGGAAAAATGTTTGACTAGTGGCTGATATGGCACTTTTGAGAGGAAAAATGACATATACTTACCAACCTAAGACAAAAACTAAACAATGAAATTAAAATTTTGATAGACTTGCAAGAACTGATTTTATGAGTGTTAACAGACCACTAAATGATAGTACCTTTGCATTCCAATATGGGAGTTTGGGGTTGAAATTTATTATAACGGGGTTTTAATACTTTACAAGCTTCATATTGACACCGAGGGGAAGTCCAAGGTAGGTAAACGAGAATGAACCGACTTGGAAAGAAATAATTGAGGCCATGTAGTTTGTAATGTCAAATCTAATGGGTTATGAGCATATCTACAATCCTATGTGATCATGCAACCCAATTGATTTGGATCTAAGTTTTTCTTTATTGAACATGTAAATAAGAACACCAAAGCAATAACCCTAAATCCAACATACAAATTTCGTAATTGACATATAAAATAGGGTTATGGAGATACCTTGCTTGTTATGTAGTAATAACAAGAACAATCCATGAAGATCTTGACCTTGAAAGCTTAGTGCCCCAAGTTTTTCACCTCTAATGGAGTCACAAACACTCAACACAACATGGATGACTTGGAGAGAAGAAGAAATCGGCTAGGTTCTCTTTGAATAGCATAGGGCCGAAATCCTTAGTCAAAGGGGGTTTATATAGTTGGGGCTATTAGGGTTTTCAGGTGGAAACCCTAATTTCCTTTCTTAGGCCTTAAGGAGACTATGGACCTCTATAATAGAAGCCTTGGACGAACTCTATAGGGCCTCCTATAGATTTCGTCCAGTCCTCCTATAGGAGTCCATTAGCCCAACTTTGCAACTATCAATGATTTGCAAAATCAGTCCCTCTATTAATAATCAGTTCCTTTTAATCCCAAAATTTATACTAAATTAATTTCTGATTAATTACTAATTAATAATATGATTTCCAAATAATATATTAATCTTTTAATATATTAATAAAATCATTTGAGTACCAATTTATTGTTCCAAATAATAAATCTTACTCTCTCTCAACGTGTCATCCTGTCAAGTTGCATGAGTGAATGCAACCCAATAGGACCATGCTAAATATCAAATCAAGTACATATCATTTATATTTATGGGCTTAGACACCTAATCCAATAGTCTCCCACTTGGATAAGTCTAATAATTGTTATTGCAAGTATGACTTCAAAATTTGATTAGCAATCGTAGCTTTCAAAATCCGCTGTCGAACTATGATCTTATCAGAAACGAGTCCTTTAGATAAGGGATCAAATATTCCTCCATTCTA